TGAACCGTAACAAGCGGGTCGGGTCGGGTCGAGCGCACTCGAGGTTTCGCCCGACCTCAACGCGCTTTGCATAGGATTGTGGTGGTTTACGTAGCGGGACGTAAAGATCCCCATAGCAGGCTCGATCAAGAGGTGCGCCTGGGAGCACGCATGATCAGTGTGTATTTTTTTTTGCATAGGATTGTGATGGTTTACGTAGCGGGACGTAAAGATCCCCATAGCAGGCTCGATCCAGGGGCGCGCCCGGGAGCACGCATGATCAGTTTACAATATGTTTTGCATAGGATTGTGGAGGGGGGCGTGAAGATCCGCATAGCAGGCTCGATCCAGGGGCGAGCCTGGGAACACGCATGATCAGTTTATACTATGTTTTGCGTATGGTTGTTTACATAGCGGGACGTAAAGATCACCATAGCAGGCTCGATCCAGGGGCGCGCCTGGGAACACGCATGATCAGTTTATAATATGTTTTGCATAGGATTGTGGAAGGGGCCGTGAAAATCCGCATAGCAGGCTCGATCCAGGGGCGCGCCTGGGAACACGCATGATCAGTTTATACCATGTTTTGCATAGGATTGTGGAGGGGGCCGCGGAGATCCGCATAGCAGGCTCGATCCAGGGGCGCGCCTGGGGAGAGCTGTGGGGGAGAGCTCTGGGGGGGAGCGCTCTGGGGGAGAGCTCTGGCAGGGGCGCGCCTGGGGAGAGCTGTGGGGGAGAGCTCTGGGGGGGAGCTCTCTGGGGGAGAGCTCTGGTAGAGAGCTCTGGGGGAGGAGCCTCTCTGGGGGAGAGCTCGTGGGGGAGAGCTCTGGGGAGAGCTCTCCGCGCGGCCTCTCCGGGGGAGGAGCTCTGGGGAGAGGCTCTGGTGGGAGCTCTGGGGAAAGCTCCGGGGGAGGGCTCTGGGGGAGAGCTCTGGGGAAGCCGGGGGAGACATCTGGGGGGAGAGCTCTGGGGAGAGCTCTTGGGGAGAGCTCTGGGGGAGAGCTCTGGGGGAGAGCTCCGGGGGAGAGCTCTGGGGGAGAGCTCTGGGGGAGAGATCTGGGGGAGAGCTCTGGGAGGGAGCTCTGGGGGAGAGCTCTGGGGGAGAGCTCTGGGGGAGAGCTCTGGGGGAGAGCTCTGGGGGAGAGCTCTGGGGGGAAGCTCTGGGGGAGAGCTCTGGGGGAGAGCTCCGGGGGAGAGCTCCGGGGGAGAGCTCTGCGGGAGAGCTCTGGGGGAGAGCTCTGGGGGAGAGCTCTGGGGGAGAGCTCTGGGGGAGAAGTTGAGCGGTATCCGCGAGCATCCGGCCGAGGGTTAGGGGTTATCATTGTGCAAGCGAAGCACCGCCTCGGGCCGGCAGGCCTATGGTCGCGGTGAGCTCGACTTGCTGCTCGCTCTCACTAGCAGATCCTTACAGGCGTGGCGGTGCGCGCCCCCAGGTCCGCGCCTGCAGTTTAGGGTTTAGGGTGTAGGGTGTAGGGTTTAGGGTTTAGGGTTTAGGGTCCACTAGCTCAACTCGAAGCCTTCTGGATGTATCCCACCCACCCATGACCCAATACATACAGAACTCAATTCATCGGCGACGCGGAGTCGATGCGCAATCATGCGATCAGGATGACGGCGACGCGCGCCGGCCCGCGCCAGGACGCAGGCGAAAACCGATTCCCTGGAGCCCGTTTGGGTATTGGTTCGCCCTCTTGCGCCCCGTCCATTTTTGGGGACGGAAGCTCGGGCTCCGTGTGCAGCGCCAGGACGTAAGCGAGAACCGATTCCCTGGAGCTCGTTTGAATACTATTTCGCCCTGTTGCACCCCGTCCATGTTTGGGGACGGAAATTCGGGCTCCGAGTGCAGCGCCAGGACGTAAGCGAGAACCGACGCCCTGGGGCATGTTTGAAATTGTTTCGCCCTCTTGCGCCTCCGCGCCTCGATTTTTAACACGGAGATTCGGGATCCGCGGGAGAAGCAGAATCCGTGCGAGGGCGCCCATGGGATGGGAGTTTAGGAATGGGCCGCCATGCGAGAGGGGCACGATCCGTGTGCCTGCACGCATGGAGTGCGGGATTAGGAATTAGCCGCCATGCGGGAGGGGCACGATCCGTGTGCCTGCACGCATGCGATGGGGGTTTAGGAATTAGCCGCAATGCGGGAGGGGCATTATCTGCGTGCCTGCACGCATGCGATGGGGGTTTAGGAATTAGCCGCCTTGCGGGAGGGGCACGATCCGTGTGCCTGCACGCATGGAATGCGGGTTTAGGAATTAGCCGCCATGCGGGAGGAGCACGATCCGTGTGCCTGCACGCATGCGATGGGGGTATTAGCCGCCATGCGGGAAGGGCACGATCTGTGTGCCTGCACGCATGCGATGGGGGTTTAGGAATTAGCCGCCAGGCGGGAGGGGCACGATCCGTGTGCCTGCACGCATGGAATGAGGGTTTAGGAATTAGGGCGCTTCAAGGGCCGCTCAAGGGGTTTTAGGGTTTAAATATTTATAGGTTCTTAGCTCTTAGGGTTTAGGGCTTCTCTTAGCGCAGCGGCCGACAGTCCAGGCAATGCTGCCCCCCCTTCGGCAAGCTTGATTGGGGGGGCGGTTCGCCGACCCGAGCAAGCTTGGCGAAGGGAGCAGGAGTTGCAACATCTTCCCACCCCCGGCCGCATGGCCGGCGACCTCCCAAACTAAAGCCTTTTAGGGTTTAGGGCCGCTGGCCCCTAAATTCCCACATGGCTCCAAGCGCTCCCAGGCGCTCCCAGGCGCTCCCAGGCGCTCCCACGCGCTCCCAGGCGCTCCCAAGCGCTCCCAA